AAAAACTTTAATGATGGAGAAATGTCCCACCCGGGGATCGAACCGGGCTGGACCTATGTAAAATTCATTGATTGAGTCCATGGACGCGGACTCAGTGAGCTCCGCCCCTTCGTCACGAAAGCTTAGTGAGGGGACTTCCAAGCTCAGCTGAGAAAAGCAAATAGATATTCCTCCAACACTACCCGAAAGAATATATTTTCCGATACTGCCAAAAATACACTAATTGTACCAACAACTCTTCTGGAGGAATACCACACCTTCCCCTCGAAGGCAACTCGAAAGCGGTGCTTTCAAATTCGTCACTTACTTCGCGAATTCTCTGATTTTACGTAGCACATTCTCCTTCATCCGACCTTCTAGGGACATGAAATGAATCTGACAAATCGGAATAATTTACCCAAACGATTATACCAATACTACAAGATGGATGGGTATGGCTTCCTCGTGCACCTTAGCGAGCATATTCTCATAGGAACCACAGTTCTCAGGGCAAGGGGTATGTAGTCTGCATCACAATCGAGAGGTCGTGGGTTCTATCCCCACACCTGTCATTTTTCCTACGATTTATATATTTTTTCAATTTCCTTCGAGCCAGTGTTGGGCGCCAAAACTCGATCGCCGTTATACAGCAAAACCACAACTCCCTCAACACCTTCCACTACTTTGATTGCTTCAACGATCTGAAAAGCATATCTTAAGGTTGACCGCGTAAGATACAAAGTAGGCCCATTGACAGTACATCATCGTAATTATGAGTCTTCTCCGCTACCACCGCTCCTGTATGGTCGTAAGTGATAGCGCCATTCAAGTAAATACCCGGTCGGGAATAACTGAGAGAAAAACGCCTCCACCAGGAATCGAACCCACGGTCTGATTCTATTACAGGTCAACACCTCCACGTGTGAAGCACTGGGTTGCAGACGCCCGACTCCTTCCCGTAGCGGGCACCACCGGACCTACACAATGACGATATGATCAAATTATGGTATTGTTATTATTACATCCATTATTATCAGCTTTATTAATCCTATTAAATGTAATATCCGGTATATTATGTGATGGTGATAATAACGTACCATCCATATCGGCACATATCAAATCCACATCATTTAAATTCACCTCCTCCTCCTCTCCCTTTGGAAATGAACAAGTAGAGGCATCCAACGCATGTCTACTATGATCGAGACTGTCGGCAGTAGAAACCTCACTACACGTCAATGACTTGGCATTATGATACAGCAAATACTAATTCTACCCGAGTTTGTATGTAACTCTTATAACTAGTGAGCAAA